TGTGCCCGGGAGCCGGGGGCTGGGAGGCTGGCTGGACTGGCGTCGGGAGGCCCAGCCCCCACAGGCAGGTGAGCTCCCGGGCCTGAGCCTTGCAGCAGGCTGTGGGGGCTCCATTCAAGCCACCTTTCCTTCTGCCTCTAGGACCCAGAACGAAACAGCCCAGGCACCAGTCCCCGGGAGCTGCCCCAGCCAGGCCTGAGAAACCGCTGACTGCAGGGAATACTTGGCGACAGACAGCAAGGTGTGACTTGTCTGGGGTGAGGCGCCACCACGCCACCACGCCACCCGGCATATGGCACCTCCAGCAGGAGCAGCGGGGTGCGGACCTGGGAGAGGCGGCGGGCGAGGTGCGGGGCAGAGACGCACAGTGCACACCCCGGTCTGGGCGCCCTTTGGGGAGCCAGCACCCACAGCCGGCCAGCAGCTGTCCTGGGCCCCCAGGCCAGCCGGGACACCTCCCACGTGGCTGGGACAGGGCAGCCCTCACCTGCAATCACGGTGTTCACGCACTCGTAGAGCAGCGACATGGCGGACGTGCTGCGGAGAGGGCACAGCACCCGGAGCCGTCAGCCGGGCGGGGCCAGGAGAGCGACAGCCACACGGCCGAGTGTCCTGTGTGGCGAGACCGACAGCCACACGGCCGAGTGTCCTGTGTGGCCACCACCCCAGCACCCACCCGTCACCCCGCCCAGCTGCCGTCCCTGCAGGCCCCAGCACCTGTCCAAGAGCACTCCCCTCAGCAGCCAGAGACAACCTGGCCTGGCAGAGGACGCCCCGCCCTGTGCCCTGGCAGCTCTGGAATGAGGAGCGACCTCGGTGCTCATTCCCCGGGGGGTGGGTCTGCGCCTCCACCCTGCCCCAGGCCAGCTCCCTCACCAGGGCAGAGGTCAGACAGCACCGGCTGGGCCCGGTCAGCGAGAACCCGAGGGCGGCGGGTGCGGACCAGACACCCTCAGGAACCCCACCACCCTGGACAAAAGCGTCCCGAGCGGTGCCGAGGCCTGCTCCCCTGGGACCGTCGCAAGTCCTGGCGCGCACTCACTCACCTGTGGATGAGGTTGGTGAGCGGCTCGATCAGCTTCTTGCCCAGCCTCGGCTCCAGGGGGGTCAGAGCACCGAACTGCAGGGGAGGGGCAGGGTCAGAGCACCGAACTGCAGGGGAGGGGCAGGGGCAGAGTGCTCCGGGGGGTTCAGAGCACCGAACTGCAGGGGAGGGGGAGGGGCAGAGCACCGAACTGCAGGGGAGAGGCTGGGGAGGGGGGCTCCGGGGT